GCAGCGCCTCCCCACCCGCCTAGGGAAATCGTTTTTCCTAAGATCCAACCGAGACCTCCCCCACTTAAGCCCATTGCTCCTTGTTCTTTCATCTGCCACCACTGAGACCAGCCTCTCTCCATCCGCTTTGGAACCCCCCTTCAGGACGTTGGAGGCTGCTCTCAAATCCCCCCTCAGTCTTCGCTTCTGCAGACTGAACAAACCCAAATCCTTCAGTCTCTCCTCATAGGTCATGTGCTCCAGCCCCCGAATCATTTTCACTGCCCTCCACTGGACCCTCTCCAATGTGTCCACATCCTTCCTGTAGCGGGAGGCCCAGAACTGGACTCCAGACTCCAGGTGCGGCCTCACCAGTGCAGGGTAACGGGGAATAATCCCTTCTCTGCACGTTGGAAGGAGGGCTGCTGGTAGGAGTCAAATCCTCCCTCGGGAGGGAAAAAGCAGAGGGAGAAGTGGATCCCTCCGGATGGGAGGGAGACAGGAAAACACACCCGGCCAGGCTAGGTTTTCCCTAGACGCTGACCCTAACTCCAGCACCTGCTGCTCCCCAGGCAGCTAACTGCTGGCCATGGCCTTGTCACTAACCCAGCATCAGTGTTCCACCCTGGCCCGGAGACAAACTCACCTGCTTCCACCAAGTGGTCCATGGTCGGAAAGCGCTTGAGCACCCTGGTGCTGACCGAGCGCAGGATGAGCACGGAGGACAGGTTGGCGTAGCGGATGAGCGAGCGCCGCAGGATCCTCCCTCTTTCATCCTTCCCGTGGACGGAGCTGGAGATAACGCACATCAGCTGGTCCGGCAGCGGGATGCTGGTGTACTGGGCCCACCACCGGTTCACGATCAGCGTGACGTAAAAACCTGCCCCAGGAGACACCGTTACTCGCGGGGGAGTGTGGCCGGCAGCAGCAGCTGCGCGTTGCAGGCCCGGCGATGAGAACGGCAGGAGCTAAGGGGCTGTCAGCCACGGCGGCTGCTGACGTGCGGGCTGCGCGGCGGGCGAGGAGCGACTGAGCTGCGGCACCACGTCTAGACGGGGGTGTGAGCACGTGGGGTGCAGGAGGCAAACTCAGGTAAGACTTGTGGGGCCCCATTTCCAAAGGGATTTCGGCACCAAGCGAGGCTGAGAAGTGGTTTTGAAACAACCCCCCCCCCCGGAGCGTACCTAAATCCCTTGGAAGATCTGACCCACACCTGCTCAGCAGCCCAAGTGAGAGCCCCCTGTGACGTAGTGGGGGTACCTGGCTGGGTTCTATGCTGCTGGCTCTGGGGTACCCCCCACTGGCTGCTGAGGGGACCACGACCCAGCAAAACAGGATGAGTCACCATGCAAACGAGTATGGCCAGACACCCCCCATGGAGAGGAACAAAGGAAGGTGGATGCTGCCCTGGCTGGGCGGCAGGGCTGGAAGAGGGTTAGTTAGTTGCTGGCTGTCGGGGAGCATGGAGGAGACAGGCTAGGGAAAGGGGCTGGAGTTTAGGGGCCCAGTCTCCCCCATCTCAAGGGGGCCTGAGGCAACCTAGCCCAGCTCTGTGACCAGATTACATCTGTGCTGTGCTGTATCCTGGAGAGGCAATAAACTTCCTCTATTCCACCGGCTGGTGCAGTCTGTTCATGCCATTTCGGGGTGCAGGAGACGGGGGACCCCCAACGCGCCGTCACACCCCCCCTCCCTCACTGGCTTTCCCATGGCCAATTCGGCCTGTACTAGACTTGCTCCAGTGCAGGACGCAGGTTAACATCGGCCCCTGGAATCCATAAACTCTACGGCAGGGGCGGGGGGAACTTTTTTTGTGGAGGGGGGGCCCCGCTGACCCACAGAAAAATCAGTCAGGGGGGGTCGCACACAAGTGAGAAGCAAAACAAACAAAAAACCCCGAACCCCGCACATCCTCGCTGACGCGGGCTCTGTCTGGGAAGCAGAAAGACACTCCCCACACCAGAGCCTGCAGGGCCCAAGCTAGTAGAGTTTGTGTGCTCCAGCCCCATTGGGGGGTGCTGGGGAGCCCCGAGCCTGTGGGGCCGGATCTGGCCCCCGGGCCTTAGGTTCCCCACCCCAGGCGAAGGATCGCGGTGTGTACGAGCTGCACGAGGGTGGAAGGTTGGTGGGGAGAACACGGACGATGCATCGCACCGGGGGGTGGCTAGCGAAGAGAGACGAGCGGCTAAGACGCCCAGTCCCCATGTGAGTCTCGTTTCTGCCGGAGACGGCGTTCCCTGTGCAGGGAGATGCAGGGTCGCCGCGCTGTTCGAGGGGCTTTGTGCTGCGTCTGACTCACTTCCCCTGGCAAGCGCGGCAGGATCAGGACTTGACATCCGCCCGCCCGCAGCTGGGCTTGAATGAAGAGCTCGCGCGCTGAGCCAGCTCTGAGAGGAGAGTTTGTAAAGAGCAGTGAAAAGACCGGAACCCCCGAGGGAACAGCTGGCAGATCCGCCAGCCGAGGCCTTTCAGCGCCGCTCAGACAGGGCGACAGTCACCCTGGTCATGGCCGCCCGCTTTGCGCCAGCCAGCGCTCTGCATGGGAGAATACTGGGTTCTTGGGACCCTCGGGCCTGGGCAGAAGGGGGCAGCGCAGGGGCAGGTGGCCACCTGCGCTCGGCAGGTGAGCATCTGCCGGAAGGAGGACGCAGGTTCCTCATTTCTCCTGCACGAGGGAGGGGCAGGGTGCCACTAAATCATGCACCAGAGGCAGCTGTCAGAGATAGCTGTGTTCCCAAGGCCTGCAGAGGTGTTCAGGGGCGCTGCTGCATTCCCACAGCCATCGCCCGGCTTCGACTGAGCAAGGGTTTGTTTTATCCGGGAATTGTCTAATCATTAACCCCACGCTCTGTTCTTGCAATCTCCCCCTCCTGCTTGGTGCCTCTCCCTCCGGCACGTGTCCCTCCGCTATTCACATCTGGGCAGGACGTCTCTTCCCCCGAGGACCCTACATGTCCTGCCCTTATCCACAGGGGGCGCCACAGTGCTTGCTGGAATGCGGCCACCTCTGGGGCAGAACAGCAGTGCTGCATAACAGCGTTGCGGAGCGAGGGAAGGCGCCTGCTGCCGGGGGCATGGAGAGGCTGAATGGAGTATAATGGGCAGGAGTGCGGACAAGGCCTGGAGTTGGGAGGCAGGACTCCCATCCATCCGCTCCAGCCTTCCCCGGCCGCTGAGGATGGAAACCCAATGGGCAGGTGACCCGGGAGGGGGCACTTTACCCAGGACAAAGGACATGGGGATGAAGTCCGTGGAGCGGTTGCAGTACTGGGCCACTTTCCCATAGATGCGTTTCTGCTCTTCCGTCAGCAGCCGCCTGCGGGGACACAAGTAGCAGGGATCGAGCGCTAGAGCCTGGAAGGAAACACCAGCCACCCCGTGCGCCGAGTCAGGTTCCTTTCCTCTCCCGGCCCCCTCACAGGGACGCTCTGCTCTCTCCCTCCCCACGTGAATCCTCCTCCTCCCCCCAGCCTGTGCAGGACAGGTCCTTGTGGGATGTTGTTACGGCTTTTCCACGCCAGCTGTCATGTCCCAGGCCAGAGATCTCTCCAACGGCAGATTCTCCCTGAGACCAGCATTTCCAGATGTTTTCCAGTCAAAAGGATGGATGCTCTAATGGCAGGTAAGGGACACAGGCATTTCCAGCAAACCCAGGGGGGAGCAAAACAGACTGGCTGCTGCACAAGAAGGAAACAGCGTACTACTGCTACCGGCTCATGAAATCAATCCTTTGTCCCCAGCGGCCGAGGGCTTCCATGGGCCCTATGCCTGTGGACAACCCATGCTGGGAGGGCGTTCCATAAACTCACCGGTAAGTGATGCTCAGCATTGCGTACAGCGCGACGAAGACAATGAACTCCTTGTAGAGCAGTTTGTAGATGCTCCCCTTCCACCTGAAGAGCAGCTTGGAGAAGCCCCCGAAGTGGGCATTGGCCACCTTCAGCGTGTAGGAGACTGTCATGGCTGCCCGGCCTCCGCCCCCTCTGCGCTACTGCTGGGAGACAAGGTGCTAGCGTGAGATTTCCCCTCGGCCTCCCTGGAGCGCTGTCTGAGGAAGCTCTGTCATCTCGTGGCTCAAGCGCCGAGGCTGGAGGTCCCGGAGCCCACAGCTGGACGTCAGGCTGGGATCCAGCAGGCATGTCTCGTGCAGGCCTCGAAAGGGCCGCAGATGCCACATTCATGGCCCAGCTGTATGCCGGCTGCACCAGGAAGGTAGCTCAGCCTGGCCCCTAGGATCACAAGCGCCTACCCTCGAGCTGCAGGAATTTCTGTGCACAGCCATCCCAGGGAGAGGAGTCCCATGCTCTGCCCGCCACCGGGGGGCAGCCGTGCACACTGCCTGACATAGCCCATGCACTAGATGGCACATGTGCAACCCACGCTAGGCAACCATGTCTTTGTCGGCCTCTAGTGGCTGTTCTGCATAAGAGGGTAAAAGTCTACTACTACTACCAGGTGATCATTACTCTTCTAGCTTAGGTGGGAGAGGCAGATGCTGAGGGTCCTGTGTTCCTTCCCTGCAGGGTGCTAGTGAGGAAACCGTACACATTCAAGAGCACACACACAGCAGCAGCCAGATAGTGCCAGCTGACCGAGACACAGGCGAGAGGCTACACACAGGCAGCAGTAACTGCTGTTCACAGATGGTACCAGCTGAGCAGCTGCTTCTCTTCATCGTGCCAGTTTTATTCAGACCTATTGGTTCTGGTTCAACCCAGGGGCAGTCAGATACCACTGGGCTGAGCTCAGAGCTGCTCATGCTGGGTCTGGATTGGCACAAGCCCCTCTAACACGGCCATGCCAGAGAGCCCAAAGCTGCAGCATGGCCCGGTACTGACCTGATGCTCTCCCGGCTTAGTATGTAAATTCCCACTGGCACAGAGCATGCCTGAACCGAGGTCCGGAGGGAGGCTGGCAGGATCCGTCGCCTTTCTTGGGGGGGGTCTCTGCTCTGGGGGGCATTGCAATTGTGGGAAAATCCTGCTCTTCAGAAGTCAGCCCCCAGCTGGGATGGCTTAGCAGCATCCAGAGAAGGGGATGCAGCCCACCCAAGCAGGGGGTCCCCTCCACCCCCCACTTTGCTTCCCAGAGTCCCCCTTGAAATCCACGGAAGGGACAGGGCCACCTCGGCTCAGGCCCTGGGATGTAGAATGCAGACGCTTTGTTTCTGTCACAGCCAGACAAGTGGTAACAGCTGATTCTCCCACATGGCCCTGTACAGGATACTGCTAGTGCAGAGCTATGCCTAGGGTGACACCCTACAAGCAGCCCTCCCGCTCCCACCCGTACCCCTGCCCAGACCAGTTGCTGCTCCTACCTGCACCGAGTGTGTGGCCTGTCCTTTTGTGTCCCACAGGATCCAGGCAGCGGCAGAGCCCTGACACTCTCCCTTTAAATACCTCCCCATGGCTCATAAACCTCATTCCTCCCGGTGATGGATTGGGGGTTATCGCCAGGCAGAGAATAGGGAACTGACAGGGAGGGTCACACCAGCCCTGCTTTCGGCAGCCGGTCTGTGCCCCGACTGTAACGGAGCCCCTCCGGCGAGGTGTACCCAGCACTCCGACCCACAGCACCCGCCTGCTCTCACCCAGATCTGCCAGGCCCGGGGCACTGCCCTGTACCCTCCGCAGCCCCCGTGCGGAAGAGATTCAGGAGAGACCCGGGCACAGGTGTGTCCCAGGATCCCTGCTCAGCCTCCTCAGGAGAGCCCAGCATTGTGGCCCGCACCCCTGGGTCATTTCCCAACGGGAAGCACGGCATTGTGGGATGGTGTCGGGAGCACCAGCTAACCCTAATGCGGAGGCAATGTCTGTAGCTTCTCACCCCCTCCGGAGAGCCAGGGTGGCAGATGGCTCTGGTTCCGGGGAGCCCAGGTTTGGCTGTGTGTGTGCGTGGCCTGCCGTGGGGTGCAGACAGTCCGAGCTGGGCATGGGGAGAGAGGTCAGGGTGCTGCTCTGTGCCAGGGCCGGGGGGATGAGCCAGGGAAGCTGTTGCCGTGAGACACCAGAGCAGCCTTTGCCTGCAGGGAGGTTGGCTCCCACGGCCAGAGGCTGCTGCCTCGCCAGGCTGCTACCTCTGACACAGAGGCAGCAACGCGGGGTAGGAGAGGGCTCCCTGGGAGCGGGGCCACGAGTGCACTGGCTGCCGGCCCCCGCAACTAGTGAATAGTCATGAAAGCGCTAAAATTGGAGGCAGCTCCACGATTCTTCAACTGCTCGCTGTCGAACGGCGCGTCTACACTGCACTCGGAACTCAAAATAAGATACCCAAGTTGCACTATGCGAATCGCGTCTCTTACTTTAGTTCGGAATAGGCTATTTTGAAATTGGACGCAGCTACAGGGTGCCAAATGTCGAAATAACGCGCTATTTCGAGCCATGCCTTATCCCTCGTGTGACGGGATTTACAGGGATGGTGAAATAGCGCGTCCGTTCTTTCGAAAAATATTTCGAACTAACGGGACTGTTCCTTGGACATGGGGTAGCTCTTTCAGGATACCTTTGGGATCTCAGAATAGCCTTGGGCTGTGTCTACACTGGCATGAATTTCCGGAACTGCTTAAAACGGAATACTATTCCGTTTTCAGTTTTTACGGAAAAGGAGCGTCTACATTGGCAGGCTGCTTTTCCGGAAAAGCCCTTTTTCCGGAAAAGTGTCTGTGGCCAATGTAGACGCGCTTTTCCGGAAAAGACTACTGGGCTGTCTACACTGGCCCTTTTCCGGAACAGTGTTCTGGAATAAGGACTTATGCCCGAGTGGGAGCAGAATAGTTTTTCTGGAATAGCGGCTGATTTTGTACAGTAGAGCATCGTTGCTTTTCCGGCAATTCAAGGGCCAGTGTAGACAGCTCGCAGCTTATTCCGGAAAAGCGGCTGATTTTCCGGAATAAGTGGCCCAGTGTAGACACAGCCTTGCAGTGTGGACGCACCCTAATCTTAAGCAACTTTGTTTTGGGAACGGCTTTGTTCCTTTAATAAATCCAGCCTGGGGGTCAGGGCGGTAGCTGAACCAGAGAAGTGTTCGTTCGGTAGCTTGAGTGAGCGAGCCCAGAAAGGGGGGAAACTGAGGCAGGGTGCCTGCAGCGAGCCCCCCAGCCAATGAGGGAGTGTCCAGGGCCGGTCACTCCATTCACATGCCCTTGTGCTGGCTGAGAGACTCTGGCTAGTCCCTCCAGCTCACCTTTATTGACCGACTGAGTCGGATGCCACATGGGGGCAAGGGACCCTGTTTGGTCAGTGCTAGGAAGGAGCCACTTTCTCGCCGTGTGGTAGATTTGAACAGATTCCCCTCGTGACTAAAAGGAAAGCGGCAACGGAAGGAAAACTAGTTCCTGGTCTCTGGAGTGAATGTACCCTGCTGCTGAAACACTCACAAGGCCCTGGATGTGTGTGTGCGAGGGGGAATAAGCTAAACACAAAGGAAGGAAGCACACCTAATGTCTCCAGCTGGAAGGATCAGTGCTAAGCCTGCACCACTGTCAGCAGAAGCGCGAAGAATGGCAGGCAGGCTGTCCCAGGGGCACCGTGGGGGTAAATTCTGCAGGCTTCCTGGCATTTGCTTTCTAGTGCACGTCCCCGTCGCGCGCTCCCCTTCCTGCCTGGCTGCGTCCTCACGCTGCGCCTCCTGTGGGAGCCCGCCTGGCACGGAGCTGCTGGCCGGCGCGTAGTAACCAAGAGGCATCAAAACATGTTAAATCCTGACGTGCGATCCCTTTGTCCCGTTGGCAGATGCAGATTCCGTGCGTGTGTCTGCGGCTCCGCTTGGCCTGGTGAATTTCAACCGCACTGGTAAAACTAAATTCACGGTCA